CACAAGGCGTGGTCTGTTTGACAATCTGCACTATGCATCACATGAATGTGACGAACATCGTGAACGCCTGTTCGGAACACTAAAACATAGTCGATGAAATGCCAGTGCTTGGATCGAGAATGCATCCACGCTATTTTCAAGCTTTCTACTGAAAGATAATGTTTATAATAGTGATTTGCTGCTCTGCACAAAACTCTAGCGACAGCCGTCCGTCATCGTTGCAATTTCCAACACTATGTTCGCCTAGTACTCCTTTCCAGGCTTTAGAGTTCTTTCCAACTTTGGCGTTGAAGTTACCACAGATTTTGACCTTATTATTTGCAAAAACTTTCCGGACAGCGTAGGTCAGTGTGGAATTTGTCTTTTTCCATAGGTCAGCTTGCAAAGTTGGAACATATATGTTGAAGAAAATTTGTTGCTTGTTGTGTAATGGGAAGTATAGGGAGAAAATGCGATCGGAATGACCTGTCGACAAATTTTTGGGTTTGGAGGCAATGAAGTTCTTAACCATCAAGCCAACTCCAGAAAGGTGACTTCTGGTTTTGGGTTTTCCTGAGCAACACGAAGTTATTTGAGCCAACCTTTTTCATGGAGACAAAATTCACTGAGAGGTTGAATCGTGATAGCTCATAGGCAATTAGAGCAGGACGACGCTGAGGAGGTTCACTATGCACATTATCAAGCATGGTTCTGATTTTCTAACATGCGAGTGTCAATCTGAACACACCTTTGGAGGCAGGTGTATGTCTTTGTCTATTTGTCTTTGTTGGATCGTGTCAGAAGGTGCTCGTTTGCCGCGGTTAGCCAACCGGATGGAGAATGGAGGATGGAGATGAGCTTTAATCAGTCCACCTTTGCTAGGCACTCTTGCAAAAGGGCTACTTGCTCACTCAGGATGTTGCCGAGCAAGATTGTCATCTCCGGGGTCAATTTCAAGCGACAGTCTCCTAAACCGCCTGCATGCAAGATTGGGTCTGTGGCTTCCAGTGCATCTTATCATTTGCCGTTTTGTTCCTCGCCTGCCGCTACAAAGCTGTACAAAAATAGGGTGTATCCTTCGAGCTGCACACAGGATTTTTTTAGGTAAACACACGTGCACGAAACTGGCCCCACTCTTCTAAGGTTCATCTGTCAGGGTGGTGACAGCTCTTAGAACGTGAGTTTAGTTAGAGTATCCTCTGAGAAGAATGACTTACAGGACTAAACGAGCTTCATCTGCTCGGGTTTGGAGTTAGGATTGTCTCTCCTGCCGTGTTTGTCCATCCTGCCCGTGGACATACTTTGTCTGACCCTTCAGTTGATATCCGTTGGGTATAGGACAGCACAGCTCGCAACCTCATAAGGTTTCGCAAGCTTCTCTCACGCGACAAAGGAATGTGTATGGAGAAGTCGTTAATTCACTGCGGTAAATGCATATTGGGAAACGTGGTAAATGCATATTCGTCAATAAAGTATTTGCGTTGCAATATGTACGAGAGCAAGTTTCCATTAATTTCAAGCAATAACTTGCTAACTGCAACTGCAGGGCAAAAATTGGCTCAAATTTATGGAGTGAAATTCGATTAACAATTATTAGATCCAATTAGATTCTCGTGAGTTGCGTGTGAAGTCAAAGAATTTTAGAAGTTAAAATTCTGGGCGATTGAACTTTGATTTTCGTTCTTGATTGATAAAGAAATTCTTGGCAAGATGCCTTCGCATTTGTATGTCTTTTTACAGTCCAAAAATTTCACCTCTCACGTAGCGATGCGAATATCCTCGTCCATCCCTCTTTTAAACATTATTTCAGATGAAAAACGAACAAAACAAAACTGAGATTCTATTTAATTATTCTGTACACGAGTATTTACGCATTATCCCGCATTAGGCAGTCTAATTTCTTCAAAGCAGACTTGTTGCCACCATACTCAACCAATCAAAGTAAGGCAGGAAAAGGTAATAATATAGAAAGCGAAACAATATTTTTGTTAACTTTTTCTGCGTTACTTTGATCGGTTGACTATAATGGCATCTAATGAATAGATAGCTCCTGAGACGTAGATCCAATTACAAGCTTTACAGTCGCAACAATGACAATATGCATTTTAAAAGCTGGAGTTGTCGTGAAAGTTTTTTGTTTGATTGGCTTAGATGAATAGTTGTGATAAGGTTTATTGGTTGACGGAGGATTTCCTCTTCGTATATAAGACGATTATCAAACAGTATCACAGGTAGAGTCGATCACTCAGTTGTTTTTTATTGTCCTCATAAGAAAATTTCGAGGGGAATGTAACTGCGACAGTGGCGAATGATTTGAATGAATGACTTGCTCTTTATATAGTGGACACAACATTTGACCATTGAATACAACCGTGGTTATCAGACTGGAAAATTTTTGCAGCATCATGAAGAGTGATTTTACAGCGCAACCCTTCTTTGTTAACAGAATGGAATATTCTAAACAATGTCCACATATTGGAAGATGAGGGTTGAATAAGTCATTGGAGACATCGAAACATATAGTTTATATATTTTTTGTGTAATGAATCACTTGCCTCAAAAATATGCAAATAAAACAGATGTGCTGCAATGATAATAAGAAGACAAGCTTGTCAAGTATAGGACGGAATACTTTATTCTCGCCGAGATGGAAATAAAGGAGCGGCATTTACATTTGCGTGATACGCAGACAAGAAGTAATGAATGGATGAATGGTCCATAAGGTAATGCGTCATGCAGCGTCACATGCTAACCAAATATCTGTTTCGGTATATCGATTATACTTGACATGCATATGTCATGTAACACGAGCAAAATATATTGAAACAGCTAGAGGCAAAGGTGTCCTTTCCTCCCTGTATTGCATCTGGTACTGCCAACATTTTTTTTGCAACTCCCATTTGATTACGATATTCAGATTCATATCTCCCAATTACACTCTCATATAATTCTCACTTTTATCTTGAATTCATTATATATGAGAATTTCCATGACTTTTCGTTACTATCTCGTTATTACTTTCCCGATTTGTCACAATTTGGTATTCATTCTTAGATGTCAGAGTGACGATTTGGACGGGAACCTGTAACTTTAGCATTATGGGCTGGCAAGCAATTTGAAAAATGATTATAGTATGCTTTCTCCCTGCTGACACTCTGCATAGTTACAGCTTCAATAACATTCTGGGATGGTATCGGTATTTGTCATCAGAGAGATACTACTATTCAGCCATCGTTATTTGTCGACAGAAATGGCATAGCACAGTAAAGAGACAGCATCTCTCTTATTCGAATATGACACGTCCTCTCTCCCCTCATCTTTCCAACTCTTCCTAAGCTTATGCTTTCATCATCTATTTTACGTATGTATTTATCTATATACACATATGCATGTATGGAAAAACTGAATCAGTTTGGAAAAGAGTAGTTAATTGATTTCTTTTTCTTCTTTTTGTTGACTATATTCTAGAAAATATATTTAATTTAATTGAAATTAGCTGAATGAGTGATTTTGATAATTCAATACTAACCATTCAGTGGACGTATTTCATTCCATTAATGCCAAAATCAATCTATTCTTGTTATAATGTTTAGAGCAAAGAGATAGATCTATCTTATTTTGGTATTGATTTTGATATTATTATTTTGACATTAAAATGGTAATGATACATTTAGATGCTTGTTTTCCACAACTTTATATTAAAGAGAAGAGCTTTGAAGAAATTACTTCTTGCAAATCATTTGTCAATCAGGAATACCTGAGTATGGAATGTTTCGTCACCTTCCTTCTCACTTTTCGTGCTATAGTTATCGCCCATAATGGGGCATTAAAAATGAAAACGAGCATTACTGATGAGCAAAAAAGAGAACCTGAAAAGATGCTCGTCGTTAGAATGCTCCCAACAAACTTGATTCATGCGAATTTAACTTCCGTGTTAGTGAACATTTTAAAATGCAACTTAATTAACTTTTATCAATAATTTTTTTATCTTTAAGATGAGTCATTTTGGGGAACGTAATTTGTGCATGTAACAGCTGTGATGTGACGAAGATTATCATAGGACAACAATATCACATCAAATTCCGGAACTTTCCATTTATTTGTGAACTTGTTTCTCCATTATATTTGATATCCAGGGGAAATATTCAACCACATTATTTATCATCTTATTAGTATTGGTTCGTCATCTCAAACTGACATTTTTGCAATAATTATTGAAGTAATGACTGTTCTCTAAAAAGATCATTCGGCACCATGAAATTAACCTAACAATGCATCTTCCTGAAAGCAGTCATCATCTTGCTTTCCCAAACTCGTTTTGACGGAAGGTGCGAGGATTTCAGGTGAATGCGTTTTCTTCACTAGATTGCAGCTTAGACTGAAAAAACCTTTTTCAAGTTAAGAGTGTAGAATGAAGATTTTGATGTTCTGAGTAGTTTCTGGTATTTCATATCTTTTGCAGCATAAAAAGTCATTCAAGCCTGTTTTCATTCTGTGCTTTTGATATATTTCTCAATCAGATCTTGCATTTTCCTATCGATCCGACTTAGTTCAAGTCTAACGCTACTCCATGTTATATGGAAATTGACGTGTCTTATTTACGTGATATTTTATGAGCAGTTTGCTTTTCCGTAACTACTGTCTCTCCAGAATGATGGGTTTTGCTTCCTTTAATTTTTCTTGCGACACTTTCGAAACATTGCTGTAAAGATCAACGAGATTCTTTAAGATTCTTTATTTTATGTTTAAGGCATGGATGGACATCGGAGAACTTTCGAGCGATTAGTTTGGGCGCCAGATCCTGAGGATGGTTTCAAACTCTGCAAACTTCGTGATATTGGCAGAGAAACAATGTCTGTTGAACCGATCGATGGTGGATCAGTAGTAAATGTTTTCCATTAATTAAATGTGACCGTTGGAATATTTTTTCTATTACGCACTGAAATAAACTTTTTCAAAAAAAACAACTATTGCTTCTATTAAATCCACTTCGATCTCTTTTTAACTAGTAAATCACATTGTTTTCAAGTTTACTGCAATATAAAAAATATTTGTATAATCAGCACTCATGTATTACATAATTACATAATGTTTTGTATTACATAATGTTACTTAACTTCTTGCTGTGGTAGATCTCAGCTCGATACGATGAAATTTTTCCAGCTGAAGAAGATCAAAAAAAGAATGTCGATGATAACTGTGAGTAATATTTAACTTAATTTAATTATCTTGACATTCTTACAACCTTGTCCAATAATTATTTGATTTTTGAAAATTCTTTTATTACTGCAGTGAAGTCTTTTTTACTAACAGTTAAAAAACAATTTCAATAACTTATAGAGAAATTATTTTGCGTCATATGAACAGTTATGTTTCAAGACATTAAATGGTGATAATTTATTAATCGGGTAATTAAATCATTTCTTTAGTGACATATAACCATTAAAAATTTGAATTCGAAAAGCTCTACACTGATTCACTTTCCGGTCAGTAGTATGAATGGTTTTGTTGTTGTTGCAGGTTCGCTGATGTATTCAAACGAAGGTACTTTGCTGAATAATTGTCGATTACGATATGCACAAAAACAAATATATGTAAGTATTTAGGTAGACAGCTATCTTTCTCTTAATTAATAGTGCACTGCGACATATTTCGTAAATAATGATTCATCAATATCTCTATCATTTCGTAAATAATGATTCATCAATTTCTATCTCAGCGAAAAAATTTTAAACACAAAGAAATTTCTGTTTCTGCATCTTCTGAGTGAAATTCTAATTTTTTGTTCGAATTGAAACAATTTTCGAGAACTACGAGATCAATACTCCAAATTCTGCAGTGGTAGATATTCTATGAACCAGGCAATACGAGATAATATGAACTGGGGATAATCTATAAATCCAATAGATATCAAGTTCAAAATTCTATGAACTGGGCAATGAGAAAAAAGAATGGGTAAGGGCTTAATATGAATATATATACAGACATATGTTGGGAATATCCTGATTTCCATCAATCCGTACGAGCAGATAACTGATTTATACAGTAGTGCAACAATTCAAAAATATCAAGGGCGATCAATTGGCACTTTACCACCGCACGTTTTCGCTATCGGCAAATGCTTGAATACTATCATTTATCTTGTGATGAAATCCATCAAAAATATTTTTTCTGTTATTTTTAGACATTTAGATTTTTAAATTTAGTAGCTATTACCAACATTTAGGAAATGAAGTGACTTTTGTGGAATAAAATTGATGAATATAAACAGAATCTATATTGAATTTATTAAATCCGATGATGTTTTAAGATTATGAGTGAAAATTCGACTAAATCGACTAAACAACTAGTAGTTCATTAGTGCTACTAAAAATGTTAAATAACTTGACGTGGTATTTTTATTTCGTTTTTAGTAGTTTTTAATGTTGTTCTTCATTTAAATTCTAACATTTAAAAAATAAATTCAAATATTATACAGCATTCAATTCATCATTTAAAAAAACAAAAAAACTGTCTGACTGCAGCTGATAGCGCTTACCGTAATATGAAACGAACCAAACAAAACCAGTCAATCATTATTTCCGGGGAATCTGGCGCAGGTAAAACGGAATCACAGAAGTACATTTTACGATACCTTTGCGAATCGTGGGGTTCAACTGCAAGCCCAATTGAACAGCGTTTGCTAGAAAGTAATAGTTTGAAGTCAGTGTTTCACCTTTTCCTTTATAGTTTTGAACGGAACAGTGCTATCCTAATAATTATATTATTAAGTGATAATATTTATAGCTAATCCGATACTGGAAGCTTTTGGTAACGCGAAAACACTGCGCAACAATAACAGTAGTCGATTTGGGAAATTCGTCGAAATACATTTCAATTCAAAAATAATTCTTTTTTTAAATTTATATATAATTCAGACTGCCTTTGAATTATACAATAACAGTAGTCGATTTGGGAAATTCGTCGAAATACATTTCAATTCAAAAATAATTCTTTTTTTAAATTTATATATAATTCAGACTGCCTTTGAATTATTTTTCTGTTAGAAGTTATTCAAATAATATTCTAACTGTTTCAGTCATAATTCGACCAAAAAATCTCCTTAACTATAATTAGGGAATTTCTGTATCAAATTTAAAATTACTTGATATTGAGATATATTATTGAGCATTTTTCTGGAACCTTTATTTTCAAAACATAACTTTGAAATATACCAAAATTTTTTAAACCAAACTCGAGTATTTCTCGCTTTAGGATTCAATTGGTGGTGGTTTTATTTCACATTATTTGTTAGAAAAATCACGAGTGTGTCATCAACTGGAGAGTGAACGTAATTATCATATCTTTTATCAGTTGATAGCAGGTGCTGATGAACAGATGGCTGAACGTCTCCAGCTTAGACCTCCTAGTAGTTTCGAAGTATGTTAATGAGGATTTATACTTTTCAAGAAACAGATTATTGTTAACAGTGCTTAAACTGATAGCAGACTGGTCTATACAAGCATAACAAGCATAATCAAGAGCATAGATTGTTGTAGGCTGTATATATAATAGTTCACATCGAAATCCTAGAACTTGATTTCTCTTCCAATCAAGGAGCAGACTGAAAGTTTTTGATATTGGCTTGAAAATTTTTTAAAGATTTTTCTCACTTGAAGTTTTTCTTAGTATCTCAAACATGGATGTACTCAGTTCTTCAGTGGACCTACTACAACAAGCAAAATAGGGAAGGACCGTCGAGGAAAACAGGTAAGCACATTATTTTTCAAAATAAATTCCAGTCTTCTGCAAATATCAACATGCACGAGAACACTGAGTGTTACTGTCGGCGAAAAATGATTTTCTAAAGTTAGCCAAAAACTTCAAATGTCCTTATTTTACTGCAGTTGAATGTAATATATCTTACAACCAGCTGCTATTTTTAAATGGAGAAGGAGGTTCTTTCTCAAACAAAGAATGACCGAATACAATACCAGCATTGTCTCCAGTCGTGTAGTATGACATGAAGAATAAACTTTCCTCCATCCAAAACTTTATTCATACGTAAACTTCAAATTATATTTTAGCATTAAAAATTTTTTACCACGTGGTACTTCCTAATTATTCTGAAATCTTATGTTTTCCAGCATTAATTACTGCGAAGATTCAAATTACCTGACTTCACTTTTTATCAATTTAATACGTCTTCTCTACGCTATAACTGATTAATGCATTTTAGGATGCAGATTTACATGATGGGATATTGGATGATTATGTTGACTTCCAAAGGTTGCTGAAAGGACTTTATAGCATTGACTTTGATACGCAAGAGTTGAATACTATATTTAATGTTATTGCTGCCATATTGCATCTCGGTGATGTACACTTCGTTGAGAATGCCGAAGATACGAAAGGTATGTAAGCATACTTTCTTGGCTAAGACCTTACTTTATATCAAATGAGAAGGTTGTATGGGCATAATATATGCAGTATTTTTATCAGAAGCTTATAAACCTCGATAATTATAAGTAATCCTAAGATTGAAACCATTTCGCCGAAATGATTCAAATGTATCAAGCAGTACCATTTTCTATTGTTTTTTAAAGGCGGATGTATGGTTGAATTCTCCAGCAAAGTACCACTTCACAATGCAGCTTCATTACTCGGTTTAGATTATTGTGAATTGAAAAATGGCCTCACAACACGAGTCATGCAACTTTCCAAAGGAGGTATCAGAGGTACCATTATCAGGTTAGTTGTTTACGTCTTTCATGTACATTAGAGATAAATTTAAACACTTGGATGAATCCTGGTTATTAATAACTGTGTTAAGCACATTCTAGGATACCTTTGAAATCACATGAAGCATCAGCAGCTCGCGATGCGCTTGCAAAAGCCATTTACAGTAAATTATTTGATGCCATCGTCTCACGCATCAACAAATGTATTCCATTTAACGATAGCACATTCTATATAGGTGTCTTGGATATTGCGGGGTTTGGTTGGTTTTCCTTCATAAATGCTTTTTTATTATATTAGCTGAATTTAAGGAAATTTTGGAAAGATATTCAGCTCATTTTTTTTGATTCGTTAATGATTCGCTGTGAAAAATGAGGTCTGTTAAAAATTATCCAAATTAAAAAAGAAAACTAAAAAAGAGAGAATATATGAGTCTCAAAACGAGAAGAAAAACGAGACGCGTACATTTTATCGCTTTCACGTGCATAAAACGTCAGAATTTAATTATTTTTGATTTTTAGCAATAATTCATCAGTTTTACTTGCAGAATTCTTCACATGGAATTCATTCGAGCAATTCTGTATTAATTATTGCAATGAGAAACTTCAGAATTTTTTCAATGATCGAATTTTGAAACAGGAACAAGACTTATATGCAAAAGAGGGGTTGAATGTCTCACGCATCGATTATAACGATAATGATGATTGCATTGGTAAGCTTCCTTCTACATACCTCACCTTAAATTTCCAAGTATTTAAATTTACTTCTTCTAACTGGAAATCTGAAAATAGAGACTGTAGAAAAGTCATACTTTGAATATCTCTTTTGATTTAGAATATTAGCTATCTTATATTGCTATTGTCTGTTGAAATGACAGATGAGTAATTCTACAGATTTGTTCGAGAGGAAAGTAAACGGTTTATTTGATCTGTTAGATGAGGAAGCACGTCTACCAAAGCCTTCACCTCACCATTTCACTATGTGCGCTCATCAGCAACTCAAAAATCATTTCCGTTTGACGGTTATTTTCAATGCTGTCATAACAAGTCTTTTAAATATGTCTGGTCACCAAGTGATTTCTAATCTCGTTGAAAAATTTCTCAAAAAGAGCGACTCTGACAAGGGCTTAAGAACAAATTTGGATGTCAATAATTTACAGTGTCAGAATATATGTTTATGCACGTTCATTCACATTAGTTATTGGTTAGGATTGTCATGCAGTTTCACATCAAACTAAAAAATATTTATGTTGCTTTTGTAACACAAACGAAAATCATTTTTATGTGTTTTCAAACGAAAGCGAAGCGTAGACTAGCCATGACTCCAATGAGGAAAAATGTTTTTTAATTAACCTAATGAAATTACATGAGGATGAACGAAATTAAGTGATAACTATAATATAGGTTTATGTCACGTGTTGAAATCAAATGAAAATGTCAATATTCAAATGGATGAAATATTCAACATTTAGTTTTCCATTAATATTTGATATTTAATAAGTGAAAGTTTATGCGATCAGTTATTGTCGTGCTGCTTTAAGACGCCACGAAAATCAAAGTTGCGAGAACACAGAGAAATGCGGGATAATGAAGGATTGCTCATCCGGCACTTTGCGGGTTCTGTTTGTTATCAGACACTTTTGTTTCTGGAGAAAAATAATGATGCTCTACACACATCTTTGGAATTGTTGCTAGATAGCAGCAAGTACATTTTTCTTCTTTAGTTGAGTAATTTTGTTCGGAAGAAATATATCAGTCGTAAAAAGGCACTATATATGAGTAATTTCTGTGTCAGATTACACAAAAAATTTAAATGGACACTCAGTAGTGCTACTGGACAAAGCAAAAATTTCTTCTCATTTCAAAATTTAATTTAGCGTCCCTTTCCTGCGAACTTTGTTCTCAACAAATAACGACAAATCACAGGATGAAAATCGCAAACCATTCTCCAACAAATTGGTACTTGCATCGGTCAGTAACAAATTTCGGACACAGCTTGTTGAACTACTCAAAAAACTCCAACTTACGGTTCTTTTTTCTCATAAGATTTAATTATCCAAATTTCTCCAACTACGGAGAAGTAATCACGGATTTTTTTTTCCTCTTTCAAATATTTTATTCTGAAGTATATCTCGTTGCTGTAGATATAATGTTCTTGACTGCAGAATACAAATTTTGTGAGATGTATAAAGCCGAATTCGAAGATGAAACCGGGTGAATTCGAAGGTGCAATGATATTGAGCCAACTGAAATGCGCTGGCATGACAAGTGTCCTGAAACTTATACAAAAAGGATATCCTTCCAGGTATGTAATTTCACAATGTTTTGTTATAAATATCAAGCGAAATTAGAGTAACACTGAATAAGAAAAAATAAAATCAAATTACAACTAGATTTCATCAAAGCATATATATATATATATATATATATATATATATATATATATATATATATATATATATATATATATATATATATATATATATATATATATATATACTACTATATATATATATATATAT